CTAAGGCCTCACACCTGTGCTAAGGCCTCACACCTGTGCCAAGGCCCCACACCTGTGCTAAGGCCTCACACCTGTGCTAAGGCCCCACACCTGTGCTAAGTCCCCACACCTACGGTGAGCCCCCATATGAAACCTGGAGTACCATGACACCGACTGTGTAACTCATGGCAACGGTAGTGAAACCCCATGGCAACGGTAGTGAAACCCCCATGGCAACGGTAGTGAAACCCCCCATGGCAACGGTAGTGAAACCCCCATGACAACGGGAGTGAAACCCCCCCATGGCAACGGTAGTGAAGCCCCCCCATGGCAACGGTAGTGAAACCCCCCCATGGCAACGGTAGTGAAGCCCCCCCATGGCAACGGTAGTGAAGCCCCCCCATGGCAACGGTAGTGAAACCCCCCCTGACAACGGTAGTGAAACCCCCCTAACAACGGTAGTGAAACCCCCCATGGCAACAGTAGTGAAACCCCCCCATGGCAACAGTAGTGAAACCCCCCCCATGGCAACGGTAGTGAAACCCCCCCATGGCAACGAGAGTGAAACCCCCCATGGCAACGAGAGTGAAACCCCCCATGGCCACGGGAGTGAAACCCCCATGACAACGGGAGTGAAACCCCCATGGCAACGAGTGAAACCCCATGACAACGGTAGTGAAACCCCCCCCCATGACAACGGTAGTGAAACCCCCCATGACAACGGTAGTGAAACCCCCATGACAACGGTAGTGAAACCCCCCCATGACAACGGTAGTGAACCCCCCCCCCCATGACAACGGTAGTGAAACCCCCCCATGACAACGGTAGTGAAACCCCCCATGGCAACGGTAGTGAAACCCCCCCATGGCAATAGTAGTGAAACCCCCCCCATGGCAACGATAGTTATGCCTACTATAACTGGACGAGGAACACCAGTTGCCATACAGCAGTAGGCAACACAAAACGGATCACCCTAGCTGCCTTTTCCTTGCCACATGCCTAGATAATCAGTCACAATGTGTGAGAACGAAAGGGGTGAGTAGGAGAAGAGGGAGCAGGAAGACGCAGGTGAATATGAAAAGTGGCGAGGGGTGTGTGGGGGGTGTAGGAGGGGGGGGGGGAGGTAGAGAGAAGAGCGTGATGAATAATGGGAGTGGGGGGGTAGGGGGTGGAAAAGGGGGAGGGGGTCGGCAGTACATGGTGCAACAGAAGAGGAGAGGTGGTTATAAGAGAAAGTGTCGAGAGAGTGGGAAAAGGGAAGCCAGGAGAAAGGAAGGGGAGATATAGAGGGTAAAGGTTGCTCAGAGAGAGAGACAGACAGACAGAGAGGAGAGACACACACACAGGAGAGAGAGACACACAGAGGAGAGAGACAGAGACACAGAGAGACAGAGAGACAGACACAAAGAGACAGACACACAGAGAGACAGAGAGACAGAGAGACAGAGACACAGAGAGACAGACACAGAGAGACAGACACAAAGAGACAGACACACAGAGAGACAGAGAGACAGAGAGACAGAGAGACAGACAGACACAAAGAGACAGACACACAGAGAGACAGACACACACAGAGACAGAGACACAGAGAGACAGAGAGACAGAGACACAGACAGACAGACACAAAGAGACAGACACACAGAGAGACAGAGACACAGAGAGACAGAGACAGACAGACAGAAAATGCCACCCAGAAATGAGCCCTGACACCCCGCTAACACAATACACCGAGAACCCACACAACACACACCAGACGACACTTGATCAGACATGAAGAAAACGACACCAGCTCCTCCAGAGAGCGACGACAGAGAACAGCAGGCGTCGAGGTGTTATAGAAAGCTTGGCAAGACGAGGCGCGAGAGAGAGACGCCGTCCTCAGGGGGGTTGGTTGACTTTCACGTCCACAGATGGTGCTGTTCGTGCCCTTCCTGTGCCCTGCTGCGCACTCCACGCTCATTCCTGCACCTGTACTGCGCAGATGGTGAGATGCCCCCTTCATAAATCTCTTTTTCACTGTGCAGAAAGACCCTTTTTTCTCCCTATGCAACTGCACAAATGACGCCCTTTTCAGTGAATCTTTATCTTGTACCAAACACACCCAAGTGCAGTTACACGCACGCGCACACACACACACACACACACACACACACACACACAGGTTAGGCGGGATCCAAGAGTCAATGCTCGATCCTGCAGACACAACTAGGTGAGTACACATTTAAAACTGTGTGTGTGTGTATTTGATGGAGCCCAATAGGCTCCAGAATCTGCACACCAGTTGATTAACAGTTGAGAGGCGGAACCAGAGAGCCAGAGCTCAACCCCCGCAAGCACTGGACCACGTTCACTCAATATGTACCGTTTCGCTAGGCAGGAAATGATGGACATGAAGAGAGAGACATGGTAAATTATACCTCTGGTGACCCCAGCCAGCAGGCGCCTCGAACGACCTTAACTGCGTCGTTACACAGCGATGTGACGTTAGAGGTCACAATTCCACCTCTCCCAGAATCTTTCACAGACGGTTCAGGTCGACGGTGGCCACTCCCAGCCTCTCACAGATGGCTCAGATCACCAGCACCTGACGCTATCCATCAAACACGTCTCCATTAGTCTCTCCCGAAAAAACAAAAGACCAGTTTTCTATACATGTGTCTAGGTCACATGATCCCATGATCTATAGGAATTCGAACCCTGACTAAAGTAAACGAGTGACGGGAAAGAAGCCCCCACCCCAAAAAAAATAGGTAAAAACTTGTCATGTGAACAAGCCAGCTACGGATAACTATAGATACTGATTGACTAGCCATGAACACGACCCAACACACGCAGGAGAATAATAACCACAGCCATTTTTGAGGTCATAGAAAATATATGCAAATGGGTCATATGCGAGAGACGCCGCTAAGATGGGAAGAGTGAGAGAGACGCCGCTAAGATGGGGAGAGAGAGAGAGACGCCGCTAAGATGGGGAGAATGAGAGACGCCGGCGCCCATACGGGCAGGAGGGGGTGTGGGGGGTGCGGAGTGGGAGAGAGAGAGAGAGAGAGACACAGCCAAGAGGCAAAGAAAGCCACCGCCGCACCTTGACCTGATCTTTCACCAGTGGTGCGGGTAACTGTAAATGTCGGGGGGTATCTCCCCCCTCCCGCCCCCCCCCCGGCGTTCCGTTATCTAGCGAACCGTTGCTGTGTTTTCTAGTTGATTTTGTTTTCGGTAATACCGTTATTGTCGCTAATTGTGACGGATTAACCGTCGTTTTCAATGCCTCGGTTTGTACCATGATTTTTGATGTACTTCAATATTCTTCTCTTGTTCCCATCCTTTAAATGGGATATTTCCTGGTGAGGACTTGCACGTACGTGCCAGCCGCGTCCAACACCCTGGTTGACCAGTCCAGCAACGAGGAGGCCTGGTCGACGACCGGGCCGCGGGGTCACCGAGGCCCGAAATCATCTCAAGGTATGTGCTTCCAGGAACCGGACGAGTGTGCCTTGTGAAGCCTTGTTTTGGCTAGGTTGCACACTAATAACGGGCTCGCCATAGCCCGTGCTACTTGGAACTTTTTGTTCCAGGTAGCGAATCTTAAACAACGACAGGCTAATAAAACAATATTCTAGGTTTAGGTTCGGTCGTCCTATTGAGCGACATATGGTCGTTCTCATCCGGGTCGAGTCGTCCTCTTGGGGCGTCGTACCCAAATATGATTTCAGTTCAAGGGTTAGAGTTAATTTGTTTATACGGGGCCAACGACCTCGTTTAGGTGTCAGATAAATGATTTAACAGTTTGCTCATTTCATTACTTGTACCTACACTTAAAAGTGTACCGTTGTGGTGTACTTCCACTTGTACATCAAGAAGTGGAAGTGGAATCATTGTGTGCATCAATGTACACGTGTAACTGCCTTGTATTCCCAGGTTCCTTGCACATTGCCGGCAAGAAATCATCAGCGACTTGGGGGTCATTGGCCGTCAGTGGAGGAACAGTCTCCGCTTATTTGCTTACTTTACATTCTACTTCTTCCACTGGACTCGCTGATATTTCCAGCGACGCCCCTTTTCCAGGTAAACTTGGAGATCTCGCCAGCATTGGAGGACAGGAGGCCGACTCTGGCCTACTGTTAGGCTCAGCGCCGCGGGGAGAGGAGATGATTAATCTTGGCAGAGGTCGGGTCTTGCCGTTCCTGTTAGGCGTTAGATATTGACAAGAGAAGGTGTGCCATACTCGGGAGCTGCAGCACTGCACAACTGCCACTTTAGTAACCAGGTTGTACAGTGGGCTACGTCGGACCCTGCAACCTGACCGGCTCCGTCGTATTGATACAAAGCTGTTTTACGAAACTAACATTTAACATTAATATAATCATAAAATATGGTGGTAGAAAAGTGACAGTAACGAGAGTGAGAAAGAAAGAAGTAAGAGAAATGCAGAAGATAGAAAAGCGAGAAAGAGAGAAGGGAAAAGAACTATCACGAGAAAGCGCCAAGCCATTACGACTATACAGCACTGGGAAGGGATCAGGATAAGGATTTGGCATGGGACGAAGGGAAGGGGGGGGGGAATGGTGCCCAACCCAGGGAAATCCTCAACCTTGGACGATCGGGGATTGAACGCCGTCCTGCATGAAGCGAGACCGTCGCTCTACCGTCCAGCCCAAGAGAAAGAGAGAAGAGGAATATCATCCAGGAGCCGCACGCTCAGAAACACATTTCCTGGCCTCCGCTGCCAGTGGACTAAGATCATATCTCGTCGACACTAGAGCAGTCAATTACGCCTTTCCCCGTGGGTGCCTCCGAGCAGGGGCTCTACACTGGCACTGGCGGACTTCTTCACAGTATAATCCCGCACTCCACCACAGCTCGGTAAATCCAATGGGCTGGGAACGGTAAACCTTTGCACGCAAGCACTGCCGACACCTTCCATCTTGAACATAAGCGTCAGTCAGTCAGATCAATGACTGTGGTTGAGGCGCAGACAAGCCCGGTTCAGTAGGCGGAGTGACGGTAACGTTACTAACCTTGAGGAGAGCCATAGCAGCGGTAGACGCGAAGTGTTGCGTGGTGGCCTTCAGGTATAAGACTGCAGGTGTGTAACCAGCGAGACCACGACGACGGGGGCGACAAAGAACAAAGTGTTCCCGGAGCTTCCACTGGGAGATGCGGCCGCGGCGGCAGCAGAGGACTGATAGCAGGAGCCGGGGCGCTCGCCGGGGCCCCACACCGATGCCACTCTCGCGAAAGTAAAAGTCGGTCGGACAGTGCCTGGTTCAGGGAGGGGGAAGAGCGGGAGGGGAGGGTGGAAGGGGCAGAAAGAAGAGAGGGGGAGGTGGTGGTGGTGTTCAGGAACGCCACTTTCAACCAGGGAGGAGCTATTCTTCCTCCATAGCCAATATTCCTGGAGCAGCAGCGGATATACTGGCTCTTTTAATATGCACCACCGCCAGTCCCTGCTCCTATTTTCTACTACACGGCAGTTTTTCCTGCTTCTGGTGAGGAGTGGTTGGTATGTGTCTCCATGTGTCTCACTGGCGTCTCACGACCCCTCATAACCCTCTCATTGGTGCCTCACGACCCCTCATAACCCTCTCATTGGTGCCTAACGACCCCTCATAACCCTCTCATTGGTGCCTCAGGACCCCTCATAACCCTCACACTGGTGTCTCACGACCCCTCATAACTATCAACCATCTCACGACGTTCCCAAAATCACAGGAACTTGGGAATACTTTTCAAAGACTCACAAAATTGGGGCCCATTTCTCACCTGCACTTTCAAGTATCCAATTGTCCCCTCTCATATTTCTTATTTGTTATCTTTCCCATCTATTTCCACCTCTCACTGTTGTGCTTTCACTGCCCGAAAATTTATCAATTATATATGTATAATAAATATACACATATATTATATATATATATATATATATATATATATATATATATATATATATATATATATATATATATATATATATATATATGTCGTACTAGTAGCCAGAACGCACTTCTCAGCCTACTATGCAAGGTCCGATTTGAATAATAAGCCAAGTTTTCCTGAATTAATATATATTCTCAATTTTTTTTCTTATGAAATGATAAAGCTACCCATTTCATTATGTATGAGGTCAATTTTTTTTTATTGGAGTTAAAATTAACGTAGATATATGACCAAACCTAACCAACCCTACCTAACCTAACCTATCTTTATAGGTTAGGTTAGGGTAGGTAGCCGAAAAAGTTAGGTTAGGTTAGGTAGTCGAAAAAACATTAATTCATGAAAACTTGGCTCATTAGGCAAATCGGGCCTTGCATAGTAGGCTGAGAATTGCGTTCTGGCTACTAGGTACGACATATATATATATATATATATATATATATATATATATATATATATATATATATATATATATATATATATATTCATAATAGCAAGTTCAAAGTACAGAAAATTAGTATTCTCTCGCCCTATAAATGCCATGGTCCTTGTGTGTAATATTACCCGGGCGAGGCAGTTGTTAGTATATCGTTAATAACCCGTAAGGAGGCTATTGTAACTGTGCCACACCCGGGCAAATCACCAGTCCGGTGATGGTACAAGGGGGGAGGGGGGGGGGCTCCAGGTGGTTCTAGAGCCTCCAGGTGGTTCTATGGTTGTCCTGATGGTTCCAAGAGGTTCCAGATGATACTAGAGGGGTTTCAGAAAGTTCCAAAGAGCTCCAGATGGTTTCAAGGGGTTCCAGAGGGTCCCAAGAGGCTCCACATGGTCCCAAGGGACTCCACAAGGCTTCAAGAGACTCCAAGAAGAGATTCAAATGGTTTCAACTGGATCCAGGTGATTCCATGGGATTTCACATGGTTCAAAGAGATTCCAGATGGTTTCAAGGGGTTTCAGATTATTTTAACGAGGCGCCAGATCGCTCCATGGGCCCGAAGGTTCCTAAGTGGGTCCAGAGGGTTCCAGGGGATTCCAGATTGTCCTAAGGAGCTCCAAATAATTATAAAGGGTGTCCAGATAATTCTATATAAGCTAAATAGCGGAGAGACACATGTGCTAAATAGCGGAGACATTTGCGCTAAATAGCGGAGACATGTGCGCTAAATAGCGGACACAAGTGCTAAATAGCGGAGACATTTGTGCTAAATAGCGGAGACATTTGTGCTAAATAGCGGAGACATTTGTGCTAAATAGCAGAGACATGTGTGCTAAATAGCGGAGACATGTGCTAAATAGCAGAGACACATGTGTGCTAAATAGCAGAGACACATGTGCGCTAAATAGCAGAGACACATGTGCGCTAAATAGCAGAGACACATGTGCGCTAAATAGCGGGGAGACAGTACACGAAAGGAACATTTACTCAATACTCCCCCCAGCCAGTAGCAGGTCTACTGTTTACCGTGTCGTAATCACCATTGTCAAACAACTGACTAATGCTGATTATACCTTAACTACTGATTACTGCACTCTAACTGCCTTGCAATTTTAGTGTGACAGCTGTTTATTTGACTGTGTCTCTTATCTCCTCCACGACCCTGTAGTTATGTCGCCTCTTAACTACTTTCTTGTTTTTAATGGCCCACCCCTACCTTCCCTCTCACTCGTTACCAGTGGTGGGTCACACCCCTACCTTCCCTCTCACTCGTTACCTGTGGTGGGTCACACCCCTACCTTCCCTCTCACTCGTTACCTGTGGTGGGCCACACCCCTACCTTCCCTCTCACTCGTTACCTGTGGTGGGCCACACCCCTACCCTCCCTCTCTGCCAGTGGTGGGCCACACCCTACCTACAAGTACTTACAGGGGAGTACATTAAGGATAGAAATAGCTTAAGCTACTCTAATCCTTTGAGATGTATTCTATTCTCTTAATAAACATACTTAAACTTGAAAGGGAAGAACACAATCACATACAGACACATACATATACCTGGGGGTCCAAAACGAATCTTTTGAATGCCATTTTTTCTCTTCCACGAAGCTAGGGGTCCTCACACAATCCAACCAGAGGTGGTAACCCGTGCGTAAGTAACTGATGTAAATATATTCAAAGTAACAAAATTTCACATGAAAGAAAAGTATACATATGTGCATTATTACACGATCAAACTATGTATACTCCACTTTGTGTATAAAATTATACATATGAATCCCTAATTGTTATATAATGTGTATTATTACCATCATGAGGTTTGAAAATAAAAATGCATTTTTAAATTATATGAACAATAGCTAAGGCATTAAGAAATTCAGAGTCTTGAGAAATTGGTTACATTTAAATTGGTTCTAAAAATAGCTATCACGGAGCGACACTAACTAATTTTAGTAGAAAGTTCACTATTAAAGGCTGAATCAATCTTATTGATTTAAGATTCACAAGTGCTGATTGTCTCAAGATAAAGATTGCCATGCACGAGGCTGGGAGCGGATACTGCCAATTCTTCAGCCTATTTCCACTTTTACAATTCATAACACGTAAATCAAAAAGGAGAAAATTGTAAAATGCCACCCACTGTACCATATACCATAGGGTGTTCAGAGTACAGTTATGTGGGCTACAGTGGCCGTCCTGATGGGCTAGGCTACAGGGGCCGTCCACCTGGGCTAGGCTACAGAGGCCGTCCACCTGGGCTAGGCTACAGAGGCCGTCCACCTGGGCTAGGCTACAGGACCCGTCCACCTGGGCTAGGCTACAGGGGGCCGTCCACCTGGGCTAGGCTACAGGAGCCGTCCACCTGGGCTAGGCTACAGGGGCCGTCCACCTGGGCTAGGCTACAGAGGCCGTCCACCTGGGCTAGGCTACAGGGGGCCGTCCACCTGGGCTAGGCTACAGGGGGCCGTCTACCTGGGCTAGGCTACAGAGGCCGTCCACCTGGGCTAGGCTACAGAGGCCGTCCACCTGGGCTAGGCTACAGAGGCCGTCCACCTGGGCTAGGCTACAGAGCCCCGCCACCAACACCGGCTCACCCCCCTAACAGACTTCACTACTTTCATTCCGGTGTCAAAACCGGTACTAAACTGATAATTGAGAAGGAAAGTTACATTTGATCTATTCATGTATTATTGTTCGTCAAAAATTAGAACATATTAAAATCAAGATCCCATTAGAAAAACTTGATCCTCTGAAAATGATCGTGACAAAATAGAATCGCGTGTCAGACGGGTAATGAGTATCTTGGGACAATTCAGGGGGAAACTGGCATTTCATTAAGATAACTGGTATCTTTTTTTATTGCAATATCTTCCCGCTCTAGTCCACAAGCCTGTTGCGATTTCTTGGCTACGAGGAACTAATAACGCTGTTTGGTTTAAACAGAAGCTGTTGATGGTTGCACAGCTGTTATGAACTAACTGCTTACTGCTTTTCCCTAATGCTGGCTCCTGGGTCCACTCCGACACAAATAACAAACATTGGTAAATGATTTCGTCTTTTCACTTGGCCAAATTTCGCTAAGTGAAATGCTATATTTTCTCTATGATGTGTGCAAATCTCTTGAAGGGTTCTCCTGTTCAATGAACACACACAAGCCGTTGTGTCCGTCATGCATAGAGAGTTGATAATATTTGTAAAGTGTGTTGATCGATCAATTGGGCTTGTTCAGCCGTTCTTAAGGTTGAGCTCACGAATGATGAGTTAATTTTGACCTACTAGTGAGGAAGTGGATCACATTTAAGTTTGGTTTGATTCATGTTTCATCCAATATTGGTTTATAATGCAAAGATGCACCTAACTTGGCCCACCGTGTGGTGGGCCACCCTGTGTGGTGGGCCACACCCTGTGGTTGCTCCTACCATGTGGAGGCTGCCTGGCCTATCTTCGAAAACTTCTTGGCGTATCCTTGTAACACCTGGAAGTATTGTTAGCGGCTTCCTGAAGCAATCAACTGTTCCCCTACTCGTGAAACGACGGCTTCCCGACACAGCCCTTGCTTTTCCCACACCCGGCAGGTACCACCACTCCCCCAGTCCCGGGTCCTTGACTTCACGACACATGAGAGAATCAACGACACAGGGAAAGTTGGCGCGGGTGTAATGAACACTGGTAGTAGCCTCGGGCGCCACACTCTTACTTCACGCGACCAGGACACATACAACTCTGAATTTTTATTCAAGTTTCAGCCCCGCTCCTGTGCCAGGTAAGTCCACTATGGGCTCGCCATAGCCCGTGCTATATGAAACTTT